GAGCAGGGAGCCCGATGCGGGACTCGATCCCGGGACTCCAGGATCATGACCTGAGCCGAAGGCAGTCGCTTAACCAACTGAGCCACCCAGGCGCCCTATTTTTTGTTGTTGTTGAGAAGTAAGCCTCAGTTTAATTCCATTTTAGAGTGGTTTGGAATTGACCCAAGAGTTTTATTCCTCATTTAGTGGTCTCGAAGAGAGATAGAAGAAAGGGATTCATTTAAAATAGGACCCAAGGGACTACTCCAAATCTTAAGAGGTTGGATCTTGGCCTCTCTGAGCCTACAGAGTTAAAAATAGCATACCACACATTATTCTAAGTCTGTAGAGCTATTTGAACTACTCCACACCTCAGTATACTGGGTTCTAAAATCTCTATGGGTTAAAGGAACCAAATATTTCAGGGTAAAATTCACCAAGATGTAAATAAAACCATTTAATTTGGTATTATCTATATTTCATTAAGTTTGAGGGTTTAAAATATAAAAATGGCTCTGACTTTTAAGCAGTCAGGCAGTAAAACAAAGGCACATTGATGGACCTGGAGAGAGGATGCAAAAAGTTGAATTGGGGCGAATGAGAGGATATATAATGATTCCTTCTTTAAAAATACATTCATAAACATTGTTTCTAAAACAAAAGAAGATTCTAAAGGCAAGGAAGTATGCCTACACTGGAAACTTAAGATCATGTACTGTTAGCTCAATAGTACATGAGGAAATAATTACCTGTATTCAGAATATTTATATACAGGCTGAGCATCCAGTCAAATCAAATAAAAAGAAACTAGACATATCAAAAGATGACCTTTAAAACTTACTGAGTTTGTCTCTAACAAATTAAAGGAGACTCATCTGCCCGGGGCATTTAAGGCTGTTGCATAAATTTGCACAGGTCTTCCCATATACCTACCTTAGGCTCCAATTAAATACATCTACTACTATTGTTTCTCACATTAATGTTATGATATCAAGTTTTGCTTGTGCTTTTCCTTCCAATTTAAGTACTTTCAGGATCCTATTCATCTTTCAAGCTCCATTTCAAAATATCACTTCTACCTCAGAGATACTCTTACTTTTATTCCTTTAATTCCAAAGCCAAAATGTATATTCTCTCCCCTTCCATTCTAGTGGGACTTCCATTCCATTAAGATAAAGACAGGTGTGGCAGAGTAGGGGTACCTGGGTGGCTTAGTCAGTTAAGTGTCCGATTCTTGGATTTGGATCAGGTCATGATTTTGGGGTGGTGAGGTCGAGCCCCAAATTAGGCTTTGCACTCAGCAGGGAGTCCGCTTAAGATTCTCTCTCACCCTCTCTCTCTGCCCCTCCCACCGCTCACTCTCTAAAATAAATAAATAAAATTAAAAAAAAAAAAAAAAAGACAGGGGTGGCAGGGCAGATGGGGAAGTTTCCTAGGACAAGATATGAAGTTAAGGTAATTTTTCTGAAAGATTTATTAACATTCAAGTCTTCAGGTGTTTTTTCTTTTTTTCTCAAGTCACTTAAGCATTCAACAATTTGCTGACTGTTGTGAGCCAACCCAGTGTTAGAAGTACCTGAAAATGTAAAGATAGACTAAGGCATAGCACCTACTCTCAAAAATTTCACATCTAATGGGCAGGAGGGATTTGAACATTGCCAGACAAGAAAAACATAGAAAAGGGCCAAAGAGAAGCAGGGCAGTAGCACATCACGTGAAATTTTCATAAGTATCTACATGTCTAATTTATTCTAGATTCAGACTATTGAGATAAGTGAGAGTTATTTTGTCATATCATCCATCACTGAAGATACACACTCTAGACAGAAATAAAAAACAAACACAACAAACAGAAAACATAAAAATCTTATTTGTTGCCCTGAGCATGTTTGAATTTGGTCCTTAGCTTCATTTGTTTTAGATTTTCACATTTCATGGTTCACTTAGCTCCTATGAGTCAGATGAAACATTTTAAAAACCTATTCTTATCTACCTATTTGCATATATGTTTATTTTATAAGCTTGGAATTTTTGCATTAACTTTCTGACCACAATGTTGAAGTCCCATGACAGAGTATGAACATTTTTAACAATTTTATCTCTACTGTAACCTCTAAAAATATTTTTTATGCATAGCTTATAAAATGTTCAAGTGTATAAGAAAGTAGGCAGATGTATACTTAGTAAATACTTTAATAGAGGCTCAAAAATTATTTAGAAAGCTAGATGTAAGACAATTTTTGGTACTTTTCTAAAAACAAAGGATAAAATGTATAATCATTATGGGCCTACAGAAGGCTCAACATTGGGGAATTGGAATAATGGCTTCATTTTCTGAATAAAGAATGACTAACTGTGAACTTGAATCAATTAACCTCCCTGTGCCATCTACTACGACTCATCTGTAATATTGAGCTGAATATTTCTTCTTACCTTCGATTTCTTCCTCTCCTATATGTAGACAATAAAGAAATATCCAGAGTATTTCCAATATTGGAGTGATTTGATTGTACATGATTTAGTTGGAGGTTGGAGCTACTTCCAACATCCACCAGTGTGACTGGCAACAACAAAAAGGAAAGATGTAAGAGTAATTAAATTTCAATTTTCTCTCCTGCCAAGAATCAACAATTTTTTTTTTCTAAATCTCACAGTTATGCTCTAATGGGGTTTGCCATATGGTCTTGGTCAAAAGAAGACTTTTCAAGATGACATTCTGCTATTTCTAGTCTTCTTTCCGTCTGTGTCTTACACAGTGTGCTCACCGTACACGTCAAAACAAGATTTGCTTTGTTCTGACAGCACTGAAGTTCAATCCTCACACTAAGAATCAAGTTCTTCTTTCTGTTTCCCATCTAGTGTAACTGGTCACGGAAAATTATAGAAAATTCAGATGTGCACTGGGAGCTTGGTTTACGTATGTAGCTAAAAAGATTTTGCTCTGCTCTTGCACAGATAGTCTAATTTCACTGTGTCAACAGGAGCAATCGGATGATTTGAGGTTCATAAACAGCCAGAAAATGTTCTAGGAAATATTTACGGAGCAGATAGAAAAATAAATAAATACAGAAATTACAAAGAAATATCATTAATTCATGCCACCTAGGAGGTTATCTAAAGTTGTTACGAAGAGATAAAATATATACTATTTTAAAGTAAATACAAATTTGCTCATACAGAGCATGTGCTATAATTCAAACCAAGCTAATAAAATACCATAGGAATCTTTAAGCCATGTACTTTAATAAATGTATATGATAGGAAAGATTATAGAATGACCTTTAATAAATTAGCTACTACTATTTCATGTAATTAGATGTTTGTACAAAATTTCTAATAGTTCCTTTATAATGTCCTTTAAGAATTCATTCTCTAGTCTTATTCATTAACTTTTGCTGCCTACCAAAATGAGGTTAACAACCCAGATAAACTTCAGGCCAGTCCACTGAAAATTCCATCAATGATGTCCCAAGCAAGATGGTTTCACTACACTGTTGCAAAATAATAATAATACTTTTGTAAATATCCTTTCTTGTGGCTTCAAAGATTTTTACAAATGTTACCTAGGATTTTGTAATGTGAAAAAAAAAAACATTTAAAAAGCAAACATTATTGGACATGAAAGGAAAGGTGAATAAAATCTCAAGAAAGATTATGAGTGTGATCACACTTTTAGAAACTTGACAATCCGTTTTATAAATTCATGAGCTAATATCCTTCTGCTTCAATTTTTATCTCTAAAATGTCTCTGACAGTCAGCACAGTCTCCAATAAACAAACAAACAAATAAAAAAGGCGCTCGTGCTCATCATCAGCCTGGTGAAACAGAAGGAAGCCTGGCTGTCACCCTGAGCTACACACGGCTGCTTCTCTGTGTGCTAACTAAGGAGCAAGGCTCGTCCATTCAAGAGTACAGCACTACAGAAAAGATTTTGATGGGGAGTAGAAAAAATGTCACGGAAGCTGAGACACTATTGAGAAACTATTCAATGTAGTGCTGGTGGCCCTTTTTTGTTTTTTGGGGTCTCCTTTAGACCTGCTGCCTGCATACCCAATCCAGGACTGCCCTCACCTGGGTCTGTTTTATGTAGCTTTGACAGATACTGAACAAGCTGGTTTTACCATAACAGATACAAGCTATAAAAATACAGATGCAGACTCTTAAATTTTTATCCTTTTATTTCTGCTCCATAATCTCACTACTTCTGCCTTCAGACTCTTTGTGTGGAGGCTATTATCACCTCTTCCAGCGTCCTTCACTGCCTCCAGTTTAGACAGAAGAAAATATTTCTCTTCCTTTTACACTTTCCCTGAACTTCATGCCCTCACTAAAAGCTATACAATACCTCAATTACAACTCTTTTTACATTTTATTATGAATATTATAGTATAAGTCTATTCCAGTCTCTAAACTTTGTGAGAAAAAGTATTATACTTGCTTCATCATTTTTAAACCCAGGGCAAAAGCTGAGTAAGTGTTCATGAAAACTTGTTTGAAGTAGACAGAATGGAACATTATCCATTAATGTCTATTTCTTTATGGTTTTACCAAAACGACATTAGGATGTTGTGATACTGACGGCATTTCAAAATTATACTTATTCTTCCTGGAATGGAAGGGTAATTATTATTTGATTCTGAGATCAAGACCAAAAATTTCAGTGACAGGGGCACCTGGGTGGCCCAGTTGGTTAAGCGACTGCCTTCGGCTCAGGTCATGATCCTGGGGTCCCGGGATCGAGTCCCACATCGGGCTCCCTGCTCGGCAGGGAGTCTGCTTCTCCCTCTGACCCTCCTTCCTCTCATGCTCTCTGTCTCTCATTCTCTCTCTCTCTCAAATAAATAAATAAAATCTTTAAAAAAAAAAAAAATTTCAGTGACAAATCTGGGACTTAGGTTGCCATCATTAAGTTGAACACTGTCCATCCACGTTTAGAATTTTATGAGAAATGACTATTCAGTCAAGGTTTTTATTGTAACAATGGAAACAAGATGAACTCTAGCAATAAAATATTTCATTACAAGGTTATTTACTGGAAGGAATTTGAGGAGCTTTGGGGGATACAGAGGAATATTGGCAAACTCACAGAGACTCAGGCAGAAACTGATAGAGAACAAATAGGTTTTGCCCAGATGCTGCCATCAGCACTGGATAACTGTGGCCACACCCGTGTGCTCTCTTCTCTCCCACAGCCTCTGCAAAGTCATCAGAAACTTGCTTGTTCCTTTGAATCATTCCCCCAAAATTCAAGGTTCAAAAATAACTGTCTAATGTGCTAGACCTGGGTACCATGACAATTTTCCTGCCAGGTAGTTGAGAGAGAAAATAGGTGTCTCCTTTAACTTAAAGGAGACCAAAGTGAGAAAGGAGTTAGGATATTGCATTAGCCACACTTCTCCAGAGAAACAGAGCTAATAGGATGCATTTATATGAAGATATCTATTATGAGGGATCAGCTTAGGTGATTATGGAGGCTGAGAAGTCCCACAATCTGCCTTCTGCAAGCTGGAAACACAGGAAAGAGTAGAATAATTCCAAGCTAAGTCTGAACTCTTGAGAACCAGGGGAGCTGATGGTGTAAATCCCAGTTCAAAGGCAGGAGAAGACTGATGTCCCAGCTCAAGCAGGCTGGCAGGAAGCAAAAGGACTGAATTCCTCCTTTTTCCATCTTTTTGTTCTATTCAGGCCCTCAACAGATTGGATGATACCATCTATATAGGGGAGGACAGCCTAGTTTACTGAGTCCACTGATTCTAATGCTAACTTCATTTGGAAACACCCTCACAGAAACACCTAGAAATTATGTTTAATTTGGGCAACACTTAGCCTAGTCAAGGTGACACATAAAAAATTATCACAAATGTGAAACCATGAAAATGCCAGAATTTTAATGTAATGAGACTCACTGAGGTGAGTCAGATTAAGATCTGAATTCTGTTACCAAAATATTTCTCTACTCTTGGGACTTTATTATCTTAGGCTTTTCACATCCAAATTATAAAATGCATAAAGTAGAAACAGGAATGTGGATAATTGATGGGTTTAGTTCCAGAGCTTTTGTTTGTTTGTTTTTTCTTTCACTACCTCTCCACATAAAGTAGAAGATATATTTTCATATTTAGGAGTTGCACTTAGATTTTTTTTTTTATCATAGGGTTTGCCCAAACTTTTTGAAACCAACATCTCTACAGGCAGTTTCCAACCCACATACATACACTAATCAAAAAGAAAATGAGAATAAGTTACAAGGCTAATTCACAAAAATCTGCTTATAGAAAATAACACTGTTTTAAGATTAGGGATTAAGCTATGTAACAACAGACATTTTAATGGTATTTCAAGGATATTTGTTAGGAAAAGCTTGTTTAACTAGAGAAAGTTGAGGACGTATCAATAACTTTTGTAGGCTAGAGAAAGGATTTTCCACGTTCAGCAAAAAGAAGCCAAATACCGGGAGAAAGTATCAGTTGGTAAAAGAACAAGATGTACACATGTGTGAGATTATTTGAAATGTAATTCACTCAACCCAAGAAACAAAATGTCGTAAGGGAAAGTGGAGGAAGATGTGACACATCAGTATATAGTAAGCAGGAAAAGCTGCTACTTTAGTTACTAAGAGTCACAACAGACCCTGCTATATAAGCAAGGGTGAAAAATAAGTCCTTCATATGCAAGTACAGGATGATCATAATGTGGAAGGCTCTTCCCAGCTAGAGTTTTCGATCCCGTTATTTGTGTGGTCTCATAATTGTAATGATATTGGCATTGTTTTCTGAATACAATTATTGCTCATTAAGAGTTTCTTGGGATGCCTGGGTGGCTCAGTCAGTTAAGTGTCTGCCTTTGGCTCAGGTCATGATCCCAGGACTCTGGGATCGAGCCCCAAGTCAGGCTCTTTGCTCAGCGGGGAGCCTGCTTCTCCCTCTGCCTGATGCTCCCCTTACTTGTGCTCTCTTTCTCTGACAAAAAAAATTAAAAAAAAAAAATCTTAAAAAAAAGAGTTTCTTGAGGGGCATTGGCTGGCTCAGTCAGTGGAACATGCAACTATTGATCTTGGGGTCCTAATGAGTTTGAGCCCCACATTGGAGGTAGAAATTACATTAAAAAATTTCTTAAAAAGTAAAGTAGGTGAGAAAAGTATTAGCTGACCAACCCATTAAGACCTTCATATCCTGACATACTCCAAAAATGTTACCCAGTGCCCTCACAGAACAAATTAAAACAAGCTGCCTATATGGCTTTGTTTCTGTCACTTCATATATGGCAAATAAAGTATACTTCATTCTGAATGTTAGCATTCTGGAAAAAAAGAATTGTGTAAAATAAACACCTAAAGTTTTATATTTATATATTTTTTTCCATCTAAACTCAAATCTAAGATTCTCTTGATTCTGATTCATGTCAGGAGAAGATTTTGCCTTAACTTGAAAAGTCCAGATAATTTTTTTTTTTAATATCGTCATAAAGATTAGCACTGTTAGCCTTCAAAGCAACTTGATGAATACTTTAAAAA